CCGGCTGCATGTGGTTCTTATGACATCAACTTTGCAATGGGGATTAGTTTTAACCTCTCCAACAGTAGATTTTCAGTTACGTGCCATTGGAGGTATGAAAGCACTTAATTTCCTCCTCTAATACGCAACTACTCCAAACCGGTTCCTATTTATTTTTCATAATTATCAACGCTACAGTTGCTTTGGTCAGTTACAAAGACGAATTGGTAGAATGACCGGCAAATTTGTTTTCAGCTGGCATTATTGTTCATGGCATTGCAAAGTTGTCAAGTACTTTCCTATCCACATTCACGATGACGTAAAACGTTAATACACATTTCGAATATTCTGAAATCCTGTAGCTCATAAAACATCTCATATTTGATAGCTATGCTTATTAGTGACATCGATCTGCGCCAGTGTTCCACGGGGCTTTATACGCCCAAGAACTTTCCCATCTTTAATAGCTTTTTTAGCGCTGAACACATTTTCATTGGGTGAGATCTTTGCCATCTGAGAATAAATTAAACCGATTTTGCTTGTTCCAAGCAGAATGGAAAACTTGCCACCGTTCTTCTGCAGACTGATTGTCTCACTTATGTCTGTCCCTCCAAGTAATAGCAGACAGCCATGATGGTGTTGACAACAGGGCTCTGACGAGACTATATTATCTGTATTAAGTGTTTTTATTAATGAAATATGAACACTTGTTTGTAAAACTATTTTTACCATACCTCTGATGGTGCGCAACTGAAAATCCTGTAATGCTAGCATTACTGGGAGTTGGGGTTGAAGAGCTCTTAAAACTTTTGAAGTTCCAAGCTTTTTATAAATAATACATGAGCTTCATAACACAGGGAACTCACTAGGACAAAATGTAGAAAAAATATAGGACTGCAAAATAATTATCAATTAGAGGTTTTTTGTAACCGGTTATGATTTATTTGGCGAGCACTTATTCATACGAATACTTTTTTACACCCCTAATCTCATCCTAGTGCATTAAAACTGAGATTTAACTGTCCGTTCCACTGAATTAAAAATTTTAGGTTGGCATGTTTTTATGGCAGATTTTCATAACATTTACAATACAACGGTTATGGGTTATGACCCATCAGGTATCTGTTTTAAATATTTAAAACCGATTGCATTGATCAGAGCAAATGTCATTTGTATTTTATGAATATACCTAGTTATTCTCCAGGAAAAAAAATTATCTGTTAATCTATAAACTGCCTGATAAATTTATTGAATTTATACCGCCCTTTTTGTGACATGCCGTCTTCTCGGAGAGACATCATTCATATATCTGCCGTGGAACCTATCATATATTTTAATCATACCTCCAGTTAAGTCTCACAAATCAGGATGCGTTTAACTGTGAACTGTAGAAGTTCAAAGCACATTCTAGCCTAAAATCAGGATTGGATCCTATGTCGATGGTTATCTGACAAGGGCATTGCTCCCAGTAACCGACATGCACTTAGCAGGTCCTTACAAAGCTTGTTCGGCCTCTAGGTCTAGTTGAACACAAAAGTAATGTGAACAGATTCGAGTTAGTTCTATCTCTTGTTTATGAGACTCGATTGCCTCTTAATCTCTCGCCAACCCAAGGCCCACTATATCAGCCAAGACGAACCTCCTGCAGCAATGCATTGATGCTGCCTGGCAAATGACAGGAACTGCTGAGGGGCTGGATTTCGTGTCACTCTAATGGATGTGAATGAGTGTCATCACAGCCACCGAATGCCAGCAGAATGTACGTAAAGACTTTACTCCCATACTCTGTGACTGAGCACTGAGGTACAAATAAAGCGGAGCTTTGGGAGGATAGCAGTGCTCGTATAGGTATAAGATATGCTTGCATGCTCTGTGTGTGGTGTCTATGCTGATGTGACTTGAATGCACAATGTTCTATTCCACTGTGTGCCATGGACTCCCCTGTATTGCACATGGGCCTTCTTGTTGCGTCGTTCTGGATATGTAGGAATGGGGATTGTTGTTAAGCTATCTGACCAAAGCATTCAAATCATGAGCCAGTTCACACATAAAGGGACTATGAGTATGTTGAATACTTATAAAAAGGTAAAATTTCTGTACATTGATGTCTCAATGTATAGAAAGCCCCCTGTTGGCTTAGATCTGCATTTGTTAGGAAATTACTTCTTACATTCAATGATGTAAATGCACTGAAGACTGTTCTCTACTGTCTCTTTAATCACTTGTCTAAAGTTTAATGTGAGTAAAAATGACAGAGCTGACAAATCCTTCCCCTCTGTCTTTAACCACTGTATTTCTTCTGTCAGGTCCGACGCCGGTATGTGATTATGAGAGTACTTCAAGGTCTTTCCAAGTGCTGTGGTCAGCCATCCGTGCTGATTGTTTTCAAAAGCAGTCTGAAGCAATTATATCTTGCATCACAATTTTGTACACTGTTTCATTTGAATGTAAAAAAGAATTGCAATTCTGCAGAATGTAGATTATATTGACTGAGATTATGTTTTTGTCCACATTTGTCTGTCTGTTTGTTGGCAGAATTGCAGAAAAAGAGTTCTGGAATGATTTTGTTGAAACATTGTGAGATGGTAATACATAACAGCAGTAAGAAGTGATTTGATTTTCTCGGGTCAAGGTCAAAGGTCAAGGTCTGTGTCCCTGAAACGGACAAAAACTGTGGTGCAGGCGGAGGTATGCACTCTACTGAGTGCTCTGTAGTTTGTGTCTGCCTGTGTGGGTCTGCAAGTGCATGTGTGTGTTATTGCACGGGCTCTGTGGATATTACGCATTTTGAATAGATTCAGTGTGGTGTTCAGAACTCAAGTGCAGGCAACAGATCAGTTCAACTGACATTTTTGTCGGTAAACTCAATATCTCTACAGTCCAGGTCAAAACCTGCCAGTAGGATTGCAGTACATAAATCGTGAGCAGAATCAGAGTTGGTTATCAGGCTGTAGGTCAAATGCCAGGCGGACGGAGTGCAGTACAAATAGGCAGATGGGATCAAAGACCAGGAACAGGCGGAGAACAGTGACTAGAGTTATGGAACCTACAAGGGGAAATCCAGACTCGGAAAAACCAAAATCGAAGAAAATCATGGCCAGGAAATCAAACACTAGATAACGCCAGAGACAGAGTCGCAGGGAAATAAATGAACAAAAGAGCTTTATATACTTAACAAATTACTAAGAAGAACACTATACTGGTGTGTGGGGCCAGTGAACTGACAGAGGGGCAAGGTTACAGACAGGATCGACAAGGGAATAAATACATGGGAAGGTGCAGGTGAGTGCAAAACCAAAACAAAGACGTGGAAATGATAGCGAGCAGAAGAATGACAACAATAGGGCGAATACAGAAGATTCCAAAGTAAAACTTAAGGTAAAAATGAACAATTACAAAATATGAATAAATAAAAATAAACCAAAAATAAAACACAAAATAAACAGATCACGGATTACTGACATTCAGGATCCCTGACCAAGCCAAGGCAAACCTGGGCTCGGTATTTAAAGCTACTGGTGACACGTAAGGCGGGACTTTGTGAAGATCGATTGTGTGAAGGATGTCTGTCCCGTTATTCTTCATGTATTGTGGATACTATGCACTTGGGATTAATTCAGGACAACTGAGTGCATCCTGGATGAACTCCAGGATGAAAAGCTTTAGGTAATTATAGGAAATTATCCCAGATGGCCTGGGTGTATGACTCCCCAGGGCTTCTCTAACCTACAACCTCCATCCAGAATGCTTTCACGAAACGTGGACTTATTACTGTATCTGTTCTTTGCGGTGACACACTGCTGCTTGATAGGGAGAACACGTTTCCTGCAATCATTCTCTTTTGCACTGCCTCGCAGTCCATCCATAGCTGCAAATACTGACGCTGGGTCAGCTGATGAATGACAGTCACCCGCCTTTACAGTGGAGGCAGCAGAGTATAAAGCCTGCTGATATCTGAACTGTTGGCAATTACACAGTGGATTAGCCCAGATCCCGCCTTAGTGCGTCCGACTTATCAGCGCACCGGCCAGGGGCTCTGCTTATAGTAGACACTGCTAAACCCTTATCACCTCTTCTTTTTTAAACTCTGCCAGGCAAGGGCGAATCACAGCACCGAGCGGCCAGTTGCTTGGGGAGAGGGTTGCTTTCGTGAGGGTGATTAAGGCGGTAAGATGGTGCAAGGGCCCCGTGGTTTGAGAGCACGGATGTTCGCCAAGCAGCGACACATCACGGACTGTAGGCATAAAGTGAGATCTGAAGAGCAGAGCTGAGAGCTGGAGGATGAGTATTTATTTATTCAATCCCACCCGAATCGGGAATGTCCCATTGGGGAACTATGTACAAGGCTTTCGCATATGCGACCCCCTGTTGTCAATTCAGGAGAGTGAAGACAGCTCGCGGCTTTCCTCCGAAGCACGCGCCTGTCAGCCACCTCCTCTTATGCACTTATTGGTCGAATCTTCACAAGTTCAGAACAAGGGCGGAGGATACCCGAACATGAACAAGCTTAGAATGTTCCTGACAAACGCCTGTCTAGTCAACAGGAGGCGCCTAAGGAACGGACAGAGCAACTTATATTACCCGTCCCGGCAGACCCTTCCGAATTTGCATCCCTGTAGCGCATTGGCCACTTGTGCGCTACTTCTGAAAAAGCTGCCGACCACTGCTGGTTGGTACGGGATGAGTATTTTTTGACCCACTGAAATCCCCTGTAACCCTCTGCCAGAGATACAGTGTTGACAACAGGCTGTGTGTGTTTATTTATTTATTTTTTTTAAGATTTTTTTTTTTGGGAACTTTTCCTTTATTCGACAGTTATACAGTGTAGAGAGACAGGAAGGTTGGGGAGAAGAATGGGGAAGACATGCAGCAAATGACCTGAGCCAGATTCGAACCCAGGTTGCTGCGGGAGGGACACAGCCCCTATGGTACGCGCACTCAGACCGATGAGCCAACGGGGCGCCCCGGCTGTGTGTGTTTATGAGAACCATTTTGATACGCTCCATATCATATAGATGGAAGTCGCGGTAGCGCAGTGGTTAAGTGTACTTGACTTGGGACCAAAAAGGTCCTAAGTTTGAGTCCTGGCTGCAGCCTTCAGTTTTGCCTTCAGTAAGTGAGATACAAACTCTATTGGATTCAGGTCATATGATTATCTATTGCAGAACATTCCACTTTTTTGACTTCAATAACTTGGGTTGCCTTTGCTGGTTTTGTCCAAGTCAACATCCATCTGCAATATGACATGTTGTCAAATGAGTTTTGTAGCATTTGGCTGAATCTGAGAATTTAATATAGCCTTGTGCATTTCAGAATTCATCCTCCAGCTTATGTCAACAGTCACATCACCAGGAAATACAAGCTAACAAGTTCAACTGGCTGTCATACATATGCATACATGGCCACTCTTCACAGATGAGGTGATATGTTTTGAATCATGAGCCGTTCCTTCCCTTCCATATATTCTTCTCTTCCCATGTTTGTGGTTAGATTGTCATCTGTCCATGGGATGGCAAATCTCTTTTGAGCCCCAGTAATGGTTTGCATCTCGATATAAAACCTTGATATTAATTCTGGTGAAGTCCTCTTTTTGATTTCTGACTTCAGTACTGATATGCCTACCTCCTGGAGAGTGTTCCTGACCTTGCTTTTTATTGCTGAGCTCAGAGGTGCTTTCTTTCTTGATAAGAGTATACCAAATATTTCAGTTGGTCATACCTAATGGTTTTGTCTTTTCCCTGGCGGGTTTGTTCTGGTATTTCAGCCCATTAATGGCTTATTTCTTGGGCAGTGATCGCTCTTTAGAGTTCATATTGAGAGTTAGCAACAGATGCCAAATGCGAATGCAGCACTTGAAGCTGTCTATCTTTTTTGCCTTAACTTTTGAGTGAAATTATTATGGAATAAAACACACCTGGCCATGGAAAAGCAGCGTTGCCAAGCATCTAATTACATTTTGGCCCTTAAACGAGGGTGAGTAATTCTTTTAATTAATGCTGGTTTTGTGCGAAAGTTGTCCATCATTGTAATTATCCCGAAGATTCCCTAACCCTACCTGGTCCTCCTGTTCCACATCAATTTCATTATGATTAGTGGTGCAACCCAGTATATTGTGTCAACTGTATTGTGGAGCATTATTAACTCATTTTTCGGTAGGACTGTTATAACCCCATCTCATTGAATGGAGTCTTTTTTCTGTCTTTATGTCACTGGCTTCAGTGTAGTCATCTCCTCCGAGTTTATTGCAAAATGTGAGCCATTCCTGTTGTAGCCTATCGACAGTTTCACATATGTGAACTAATCAATTAAAAATGGACATTTTAACACGTTGACTGCCAGCTAATGGCGGGTCAGGGCCAGCGCCAGACTTGAAAATTCGGGGGAAATTATCCATCCCCTTATTGACAACAATTGGTCCTGGCTAATTCTAGATGGTTTTCCTTTATAAGCGCGTTTTCTAATTCAAGAATAATCAAGTGGCAATTGAAGACACGGCTTCTCTCCCCCATGCGATCTAACAGCAAATAATGGGCTACACTCAGTGCAGAAAAATAATTTAATTATAATTAGGTCTATGCACAGGCACTCAGCAACCTTAATTTTTTTTTCCAGCGAGAGCGGCATTTCAGAACTCATTTGCGAATGAAGGTAATTACGGCAAGTACCTACACCTGTTTTTGCAGCACGGTCACGCAACTTGCTGTAAAAAATAGCCAGCTGTTAGACTGGAAAATGAAAACGGAGGAAACCACGTATACTTGTCATCAGAATTACCTTCATTCGCGAAGAGTTCTGAAATTCCGCTCTCGCTGGAAAAAAAATTACCATTGCTGAGTGCCAGTGCATTGACCTAATTATAATTAAATTATTTTTCTGCACTGAATGTAGCCCATTATTTGCTGTTAGATCGCATGGGGGAGAGAAGCCGTGTCTTCAATTGCCACTTGATTATTCTTGAATTAGAAAACGTGCTTATAAAGGAAAACCATCTAGAATTAGCCAGGACCAATTGTTGTCAATAAAGGGATGGATAATTTCCCCCGAATTTTTCTGGCGCTGGCCCTGACCCGCCATTACGAGTTATCTCGTAGTTGGCAGTCAACGTGTTAAGACACTTGGACTTTTTTGCTATAGTTTAATGTATGTGCCTATAAAGTATTTCATGTCAATAAAAATTGGAGTGATTCACCTATTAGTTTCAATGGAATCATGTAAGAAGAAAACCGCTATCACAGATCAAGTGAAAAGTGCCCAACTTTAACAGCCCTTATCTCAAAATCACAAAGTGTCATGAGTTGTCACTTTTTATCAGATGCGTTCACATATGGCAGTGACTTAGCAGAGAGTAGTTTGATATCATTGCAATGCCAGTTCTCTCTAGCTCTGTATCACTCTTATTTGAATAATTCAAATAATTACTTGTATTGAATTAATACCATATTGTGAGACGTGCTCATTCAGTATATGGAGTAATTTAATTTCTCCAGGTTTTCATTGCAGGCTGCCTCTGCCTCCTTGTTCCCCATCAGATCTAGCTGATGAAAGACAGCTCGCAATAGCAGCCAGTCAGATGAGGAAAACACATTAACTATGAATTGATATACTGCCACCAGGAATATACTTTGCCTTTTTCAGAAAGTAGAGCAGACTAAGCTCTGCAAATGTTTGGTGAATTTTTTATGATCATCTTCTTGTAGAAAATTATATGCGTGTTTGTCTTTACTAGAGACCTACTGATCCCCTGGCCTTTTACAACTTGTTTTGCTGTGACTGTACATGCATTGGCACTGGCTGCATTATTACAGTTCAACAACTGCTATGAAGAAGCATAGACAATCATCGCAGGATAGATACACTGGGGTTCAATATTATTTGGACTCCCATCTTATCCCATGTCAACAAACCGTTCTGAAGCAGTGAAATTGCTTACCGACACTGCAAAATTGTGTTGCCAAGAACACCATTTTGAGAGAAATGGCATGTATCATGACATCTGCTGGTAATGAAATCGACATGTTTGCTGGAAATGAAGAAATTCCATTTTAGGTGCTTGTGTTTGTGTCATAATGTTAAGGGCATGGCAAAACTCTTGATCCACCTAACTTAACACATCGCAGCGCTATAACAAAGAGTAACTGATTGTACAAAACACCACATTTTACATTTCCCACATTTTTTTCTACAACGTATACAAATACTAGTAGTATTTCATTTCTCGCAATTTGCAGATTAAAATCCTGAACCAAAAAGTGTGGATGAACATGGGATAAGATAGGGGTGTCCCAATAATACTGAACCCCGCTGTATAGAGATCTGTGTATAATATTCTTGTTGGCTTTCAGTCCGTGATATTTTTCAAGAAGAATGAGTTCATTGGTGGTGCCAATTGTCAATATCTCAAATGGCATCTTGGATGATCCCCCTCTGGAATGCAAGCCGGCTAATGAAAATATTCCCACTCCCCTCTCAGCCCCACAGTGGGAGTATCCTGTTCCAAGCTTTTTTCTAACTCTGATATCTCCCTCTTCTTTAAATAAGACCTTATTTCTCCTGAGGCCTGTGGGAGCAGGCTCTCAGAGCTAACTGAAGTGCAGCTCAGGTAGTCTGTTTACTGGCATGTAATATTTCTGCAAGAGCCAAGGGTTTCATTCTGGGTAGACTAGCATTAGAAAGACAACTGTCAGCTCTTCTGATAGTAGCAGACCTGGGAACTGGGGTCCTAGTTCGCCCAAGTGATCAGGTCTTATGTGGTATCATTGATTCAGATAAGAATTCCCAATGGTGCACTAAATGCCCAAGAGATGGAAGAGTTATGAGTGGGAGCAGTGCTCGCAGTTCAAGTGTTTACCTCTCAGCATTTCTCTTTAATACAGAGAGATTAGTGATTGGTAGACACTCTGGAAAAAAATCAGGGCTAATTTACTGCATTAAAAAAAGTATGATATTGAATGTGGGTGCCGTATAGTTTGAGTGTTGTGTTTTTTTTTTTCCCCTTAGCTTTTTCCCTTGTTTTTCTAGCTTAACCCTACTTGTATTTTTCAGGGGATTCAGGCTTAGCCTTTCCAAAGTTTCCTATTTAGCATTTGCTTGTGTAGTGCCTTAGTTCCAACGCTTAATAGGAATAATTAAACTGATTTTATTCACCTCCGCCAAGGGAGGTGTATGTTTTTGCCAGCGTTGATTGGATTGTTTGTCTGTCTGTTAGCAGGATATCTCAAAAACGGCTGCATAGATTTTAACCAAACTTTGCAGGATGTTAGAGTAGCACAAGAGGAACAAGTGATTGAATTTTGGAATATCTAGGCCAAAGTACAGCTGAGATATAGGCCAAAGTTCAAATCCAGCTATGCTGGCAGAGATTTGAAGTCTTTCCAATCGGCTGGATTTCCATTCGGCGTGCTTTTGGGTTTTGATGCCACCTGGCGGTGGAATGCAACAACACCCTACATCAGCCAACAAAAATAACTAATGCGCAGAGTTGCTTGGCGTGGAGGAGGTGCTGCGCTCTCTGAGTGCTCTTGTTGTGTTGCAGAATGTTTAATCTTACCCTTCGATCTTCAGCGACTGGACGTGGCACGTTCAGTTGTCGGCCTCCTTGGAGGTTTACATTGTCTCTGGAGCTGGAAGGTCGAGTTTAACGCATACATTTCAATTGTGTAAGGCTCACAGCTTCCTCTACTGTGACAGGCAGGCAAGACGTGTGAATCAGCCTTTTTGTAGCAAAGAAAAGTCCACTATGGCTTCCAAATTAAGGGAAGTGATACAGCTCTCAGCAATTTTTCATGTGCTCCTGTCTAAATTTGTTTACAGCCGGGGCCCATCATCTTAGGATTCCACCTCTGTAAAGTCCCTGCTGTTTTGTATGTGTTCTGTGGATTCTGTCGAATTTGGGCTCCATTTTTGTATGAGTGTCTCACTTATTCAGTAGCCTTTATGCTCAGAGTGGGGCCGTAGGCTACCGATAGCCCCGTAGAAGTAGTGCCTTCCATGTGGCACTATTTTCAGTTACCTTTGACAGGCCTTTTCGCTGGGCTGTCGAGCAATCCACCGCTCGCAGCTAAAACACTCCAGCACCGCTAATGATGCGCTCATCACT